TCTCGGAAGATCGCCCCCAGATTGTGTAATATTGTCGTTATTACAAGATCGCCCCCAGATTGTGTAATATTGTAGTTCTCGGAAGATCGCCCCCTGATTGTGTAATAGTATCGTTCTCAGAAGATCGTCCATTGCAGACAATTACATTGATGTTCATGCGACATGAAAAAGAATCAAACGGTTACGTGAGAACTCTGCAATGTTTGGGTTCTTAAGAAGTCAAATTCTGGTCTTCAAGTCTACCCCCTTCTCCCTGCCGGAGCTAATAACAGTAAAAGTTATAATGAAATTATTAAAGTCGCACGTCGGTGTTTAAGTTCAGCTATGAATAACTTCTTAATACAAACGAGTTCAACGTGTATTGGAATTGAAATAAAACTTAATACTAATACTCATCAACAGTAGTGAATAATATCAAATTTACCAAAATTATTCACCCAAAAACAAAACGACATAAAACAAAAAGGAAGCAATCAACGACGATGAAACTTTGCGTACGTGTAACTAACGGTTTCTGGTGCCTCGCGTAACTAACGGTTTCTAGTGCCTCTCGTAACTAACGGTTTCTAGTGCCTCTCGTAACTAACGGTTTCTAGTGCCTCGCGTAACTAACGGTTTCTAGTGCCTCGTCATCAGGTGACGAGCATGGTGTCCACGACGGTTTATTTATTTATTTATTTATTGTTTGTTTAGGATTTCGGCGCAAAGGTAAACAAGGGCATATCTATCTCTAATTTCGAACTGATAGACGACTATTTAACAGCACCTTCCGCCAACTTTTATGTGACAAAATTATAGGACTTCATCGTCACTCTTAGAGCGTACCATAGAGCATACTGACCACTGACCACCGACTGGCCACTGGCCACGAAGTAAGAAAAGAAGTGTATAATATTCTATAAGGGGTCTGGTACCGGTGTCGAAACGTCATATGATCTCTAGTTTGTTCCGCCATACTGGACGTCAAGTGCTTACATTCGTCTTGGGTGAAAAATCAGAATTATGTCTTCTAATATCATGTTATATGATTCAGTAAATCACATCAGCGATGAGCATAAAGAAACGTATATGGAGAATTTGAATAGCCATAGTATCGAATCTGTATCTTTTTCCAAAGACGATGTTTACATTATTGACAGTAGGCAAAGCTTCAGTGAATCTTGTATTGATGTTGACTGCCAGAACGGGATGTTTGACGTCCAATATGGTGGCGTTGAATGATACAAAAAGTTGTGACGTCACGTGCACGACCTCTATACCAAGTTTGAAAATGATGTGCATGCTCTACCACCATGACCTCTGCCGTGTAATTTTATTTACAGTAACTCAATACCATTAATTACATCTCTGCAAAGTTTCAACGCCATTGCTTTAATCCTAATTTTTAGATATTATATTTTCAGTGAATGTTGATATACAACACCCTGTAATATACATCTAAATTTAAGTTAGTTTTCAAGGTTTAGTTTAAAAGAAGTTACCAGTACAGCTGAATCTGGGATATAATACTGTAATAACATAACAATGAAGGTTATGAGACTTAATTCATCAATTGGTATATCCTCCTTAATCTATTGTGTGGTCAGACATGATTACAGCCGTCAATCTATTTCACAAACATGGTAGAAAAATCAGAACAGACTCCAGATTAACTTTCAAATTTCTCGAAAACATGGTGAAACATTTAATGTAAATAAATCATGGCGGGTAATTGAATATTCAGACGAGGATTTCAATGAATGTGTTGAATTAATGAATATTATTTGTTCGTTCACACGATTTTCAGAATATATTTTGTACCAGAAAGATGAAACGTCGGAATGGATTAAGATACACTTGCCAGGTGACATACATAGTCATGTGTTACACGATTTAAGATGTGGTAGAAAGTACGAATTCTACATAGAAGCCTACAACAGCGCCGGTAGAGGGCAGCCCAGCGAGATTCTTCCCGTCAAGACTGATGGCTCAGGTATAGACATGTTTTAAATGGATATGTATTTTTTTTTAACTAATATATAAACATTTTGTATGTAAATGTTGATATCATACAGTAGCTTGTATCAAAGTGTGATACGTTAATATTTTAAAAGTTATATATTATTAGGCATTAACGCTTGATATTTCAAATGGAAAATCTTCTTGATTGTTTAGATAAAGAAAAGCAAGAATTTAGAGAATGGGAGTTGTTTAACATTAAGTTACAATTTGTTGAGTCAGACTGGCTATATTAGAAACGTTCCATAGGATTTTTTCCATACATTATTAACGAAATGCTTAATAGGCATATCTCTGTAAATAGTTTTGAAACATTTGAAAATTGAATAGCGATTGGGAAAATAATAACCACGTGTAAATAGTTGTGAAACGTTTGAAAATTGAATAGCGATAGAGAAAATAATAACCACGTGTAAATAGTTGTGAAACGTTTGAAATTGAATAACGATAGAGAAAATAATAACCACGTGTAAATAGTTGTGAAACGTTTGAAAATTGAATAACGATAGGGAAAATAATAACCACGTGTAAATAGTTGTGAAACGTTTGAAATTGAATAACGATAGAAAAAATAATAACCACGTGTAAATAGTTGTGAAACGTTTGAAATTGAATAACGATAGGGAAAATAACAACCACGTATAAATAGTTTTGTTTGGATGGTTGAAGTTTACTGGCGCAAAGTAACGTGGATATCTGCGCCAACAACCGTCGAGTAGACAAAAACAAGTAAAATTCGATATAAACTAAACTAAATAAAAAATGCTAAAAGCTAAACAAGTTGAAAACACGATCAATCTGGACAGTGTCACCATCACCAATGACACTTTGCGGATCAGTCCCACATAAAATATAACAAGGAGTGAAAAAAAAATATGGCCAATTCATAGCCTTGTCAAGACAACTTCAAACAACAGCAGTAGGCTTAATCTTGTAAAGTTTGTAATGAAGTCACTTACTCCAAATTCGACTGCTAACTGACGTGAAGGTGTGTCTTGATCATAGGTCTGTAGTTCACATGAGGAATGGGCAGGACTGTGACAATGCCAAAACAGATGGACTTAGCGCGGTATCAATCTCGTTCCCACAAATTCCGACAGGCCAAAAATCTAGAAAAACCGGATTGAAACAGAAGGCAATGAGAAGTGGGCAGTCGTTTCTAAATATGCAAGAACTGGGTGAGAACTCATTAAGCGACTCCGGAGCCAAGAGAGTCAGTGTATATATATAGTACAGTTAGTGTACTGTTTAACTTTAATGTGATCCAAGGTAAGTTGAATTGCATGTGCAATGAACACAGAATCTGTAGAGGGGATCATGTGAGCAACTGCTGAGCTCACGGAGACATAATTTTGTAGCATCTGTAAAAACGGAAATGGAAGAATGGTTCGAAAGATGTTCAGCAAAGAGAAGGCAGAGGTACCTCCAAACATGTATATCCACCCTCCCCAGGTCCCAAGAAAGGTCACAAGTGGGGACGGTACTGAGCCATGACAGGGTGGGCTGAACATTAGACTCAGCAACACCATTCAATGTTAGACTCAACAAAACGAACATTAACCATCCTTTCCAAAACCTTATATAGACAGTTAATCAAAGCAATTGGATGATAATTAGAAGGAATCATAGATTCCTTCCCAGGCTTAGAAAAATAGAATGACAATAGCTCTATGCCATGCAACTTTGAAAACACCCTCCTGACAAATCTGGTTAAAACAACCAAAAGAAGAACAAAAGAGGTAGGGATAGATGGCGCAACATCTTGTAATGAATATCATCAGGTCTGACCAATGTAGAACAATTTTATGTTCCACCAGCGTAAATGTGCGATTATAGTCATAGAGACCATCTGCCCAAAAGGAAAGTAGCAATTTTTCAGCCCATGACTTTATGGTCAAGAAGGCAGGGAAAGGGACAGAAGTGTTGGATAGGTGAGAAAAGCACTTACAAAATATGTCAGCAATATCCTGAACATAAGCAACTTCCTAGCCAATGGAGAGCAAGAACGAAAGGGGATGGATAGCATACTTTCCAATGACCCTCCAAATCCTGTCCCAAACGATCTTGTAACTTGTGGTTGAAGAGATGCAAGTAGTGATTTTAATTCAAGATTCCTTCTGGTTTTGACATCTTACCTGCCAGGCGTGGGCGCGAGCCCACTGAAAAACAAAAGATGTAGTTGTTAACAGTGGGATATCTGCAAAAAAATATTCAAGGCCCATTTATGAGGCTTCTGTTTCTGCTGGCAGTCAGAGGTCCACCATGGATGAGAATACTGTGGGAAACATGTCGAGGTTTTGGCTATTATTGACTGCATGGAGGCAGTAACTAATTGTATTGTCCTAGCAGCTGTTTGTATGATCTTAGGAAGATCAGCGACAGCAAGATCAATTTCCGAGAGACCAGTGAGGGAGAGTCAGTCAGTCTGCTCTAGCTTTCACCATGGCGCACAAATTAGGTGGCATTGACTGCATCCGATTTCCCTCAGAATGATGGGAAAATGATCCTTCACTGTGGGTCATTGTCTACTCTCCAATAAAAACAAAGAAAAGGGGAAGTGGGAAAAATATAGATCAAAAGCAAAAAAAAAGACTGAATACTGCATGAAAATGCTATATGAACCAGTATTGAAGAGAGAAATTACAATCCACTCTACAGAACAACCCCTCCCATCTACATCGGCACCACCCAAGAGGGGATTGTATTCATTTGTCTTCCAAGATGAAGAAGGGAGATAGCAACTGTTCATTAAGATCAAAGTCTGCTTGATCATAATTCTCTCATGGTGACGGGTAAACAGACCAAACTGTGATGGTATAGCCCATGGAGATACAGATGGTAACAGTTTCCAATAGCTCAGTGAGTAGCACAGACATGGTGGGTGCACGCTGCTCAGCTAACAGTGCCACACCTCCACGAACTCACCCATCATACAACCTGTCATTTTTATACAAAGAAAATTGCCGAAAGGTAACAGCATCAGCAGGTCTGAGAAATGTATCCTTTAAGGAGAAACCCACAGGATGATAGAAATAGATCAAGGCCTTAATATCATCTAATTTAGAATGGAAACCTATACAGTTCTACTGTATTAAAGTGGCAATTTTTATTTAGAAGGAGAACTAGATGGAGGTTTTATTATCTATTACTGTGCCATTTTTGTTTCTTTGAAAGAGCCCTGTCATTAACCTCCATTGACCCACCCTGGGTCGATTGGATACGTATCTGTCAGATAAAGGAGATTCCAGTGATTGAGTGCCTGACCATCGGGATCGATCCAGAGGGGCCCAAGCATTCACTGGATGCTATGGAAAGTACAAAGACAGGAGGAGACGTAGAAATGTCAACTTGTGCTTCCATGGAGAACAGAAGATTCTTTAAATGGTGAGAAAAAGACCCGGAGGGGGGAACAGAGATCTGTCTGCACCCTCACTGTAGCATTGGAATGGAGTGTAGCAGCATACAAAGGTGGAACAGGGGACAAGAACTTCTGTGTCTCAGAATAAGAAAGATAATTAAGAGTCCATAAATGATGTACCTCTTTCTCCTCCACCCACTTAGGGCAAGAATGAAAGTACGAGTTGTGGGAACCATTATAATTAATGCAATGGGGGTCCAATTGACACTCATAGCTATTGTGGCTTGTGACACCACAATGAGCACACAAAGAACCACGACAAGATGTCTTAGTGTGTCTACACCAATGGCATTGGAAAAATTGGAGAGGGTATGGAATATAGGGTCACACCTTACAGCTAATATAAATATAGATACAGGCGGATGTGATGTTAATACCAAAACAATAACTTGGTTAGGCCACATTATTCCGTCTTTGTGAGTGGATATACGTCACACAGCTGAAACTCCTTGGTTGGAGAAACCAGCGAGAATCTCAGGCTCTGGGATGGTAATTAAATCCTTATGACATAATAACAAATAATAGCAAAGCTACACGAGGGCTATCTGCGATAGCCGTCCCCAATTTAGCAGTGTAAGACTAGAGGGAAGGCAGCTAGTCATCACCACCCACCGCCAACTCTTGGGCTACTCTTTTACCAACGAATGGTGGGATTGACCGTCACATTATAACGCCCTCACGGCTGAAAGGGCGAGCATGTTTGGTGTGACAGGGATTCGAACCCACGACCCTCAGATTGCGAGTCGAGTGCCTTAACCACCTGGCCATGCCGGGCCCTTGTTTAGGGTAAAAGTCTGTATACTTTTAAATCACTAAATTCTAAACGGCTGCGTATTAAACTTATTAGAAAACTGTATTTCAGTAAAGACGATGTATTTTACATTGGTAGGCGTTGTAAGATGTTAAGAAATATGAACGAACAATCAATTCATGGGTTTTTAAGAGACAATATTTCCGTTAAACATTTAAGATAACTGAAACGCAAGGAAAATGTTCAAGTTTTCTTATGGGCAATCGTAGTTAAATTCGATTACTGTATGAATCAAGGAAGAAGGTTATATATGCATTTCTTAATATTGACTACGTTAACTAAAAATAGAGAAACGTAGCTCCAAGTCAAGTTATTGTTACACGCTCAAGTTGGTTGGAAACTTGTACGTTACCCGTGGGATTATTACGTCTCAAATTGAATGGTTGCGGAAATTCAAAGGCAGATATATTTTTCTACGCCATGTTTTGAGACTACATATGTTATCACAGATATTTTGAATAGCACTCAGACGAGGTTGTGAAGATTAATATATGAGGATTAAGAAAATTGAAAATTTGGGGGATCTGCATCTTGACGCTTACAGTTGTGTATCAACGAAATCGATAAATCGCATTTTGTGCAACGTTTACTTTAGGCACGGTTGATAAAAGATCCTTTTAACGTTTGTTTGTCGCTTTGAAAGACAGAGTAATGAAACGGAAATTCTACTAACATGTTACTTCGACGTTCAAGCAGCTGGTGAACGGAGATAAGTACGTTTACGGGAAGAAAGCTAATGAAAGAAATAAGAACCACTCCAACTGTTGGTTTACTGAGTTTGTATTTGTTGCTTCTAGTTTTGAAGTGTTTGTTTGCTGGTTTTGTTTTAGAGCAAAGCCACATCGGGCTATTTGACGTGTACTTCACGGAGAATCGAACCCCGGACATTAGCGTTGTACGTCCGTAGATTTACCTTTGTTCCATCGGTGGAGGGAGAGGCTGGCTGGCTTAGTCAGGTGGTTATGGCGCTCGACTTTTGCGACTCGTGGCTTGGTTCAATCATATTTATTCCTAATTTATAACTACCGGTCAGAAACAGAGTAACCAATCAGCAATAGTCACAATTTACGCTGATATTACAGAACTTATTGTGGCTAGAACCTTGGACCTTCCGATTCGCTGCTCGACATGCTAACCCTAGGTCACATCCATGATATCTAGCTTCATTAAACACTATCATATCAGTGACGACTCGTCAGAGGAGAAAAGGGAGGGTGTTTCTTTAAAATTTTAACAAATAAAATATTACTTACTTTACATATTAATACCTATATTGTGTTTGAGTTGAGCGTCATTTTTTTTTCTTTTACAAAAAAAACCTTTTTTGTAGTAAAACTGAAAAATCTTCTGCCCCTTTCTATGTCATTCATCGAAGAGATATCTCATGATGCGACGCAAGACACAGTTGTGCCCTTATGCTCGTTTTTTTCTTCTTTGCTACGACGGAAAAAGCCGAAAAGAGTAGAGCCTTCTTCCCGAGTTTAAGAAGGATTTTGAAGTTGGCCGCAGAACTAATGGAGCGAATCAGAAATTAGGTTTTATAAATCAAGCAATGAAAATCAGTTGAACAAACATTCTTAATCTGGAGGAATACACAGGCCTCGCGAGGTCGCAGTGGTCAAAGGCTGGTAAAAAGTTTAATGTTTTTGTGAAAGGGAGTTTCCTTAAATGATGTGCAGTACTTTGGATAAAAAAAAAAAATATTGATTTGGAGGCTATTTCGGAATTTTAAAGTTCAAACAACAGTTAGGCCTTGTCTGGCCCGACGACGTTATCAACACGTTTGCAGCTGTGAAAGACCGATCACTCGAATTCATATATAAACAGTCAGACGATATTTAAATTTAAATTCCGGTTTTACTATTCTCTATTTTTGAGGGTGGGGCTAAAATATCGGCAGCCTCCTCCTCAATATTAAATGCGAGCTGCTAAAAGTACCACATATATATATATTAGGTATCATGCGAGTAGCTTGCAGTTCTATCTCGTGTCTGAGACATAAATTCCATCGATACTTTACTCCATTTTATAAAACTTTATGCCTCGTGACATTTGATATATAACTTATATTAGCGCCTCTTGTTACAGATGAAGATAGAAGTTTCCTGAACTCTTTCATTTTCAAGCCTTTACTCCTTTGATATTATTAAACGGTATTCATCCCCCAGAACACTTTCATATTGAAAAATAGTTTAAAAAATTAATTTCGAAAGCTTTTGGCCAGAGTTACTTGCTTCTAAGATTGATACTTTCACAATAGGTATGTATTTTACGGAAATTAAACTAGTCACAGAGCATCATCGAGCTCGTGATATGTTTGTGTTTGTGTACACCAAAATTCAGTTATTATATAATATCGTGTGTATATTTTTTAGTCCTACTAAAGTACATTTTTTACAGCTCCACAAGCTCCTAACAAGCACAGTCTTCTCATAGTGAATGCCACCTCGGTAACTATACATCTCTCCGCTTGGCGGCGTGGTGAGTGTCCGTTACTGCATTTCTCTATTCAGTACAAGCCGTTAGAAGGGTCAGAATGGATACTCTTGTCCAACAATATCCTACCAGAACAGAGGTCATCGACAATTCCGGACTTAACTCCAGCCACTTGGTACACTATTTTGATGACGGCCAGTAATGAAGCTGGAAACACAGAGGCAGAATACGAGTTTGCAACTCTCACCCCATCTGGCGGTAGGTATCGATACTTCTTGCTTAAAGTCAGAGGTGAAGTTATTACACTTATCTATACTCATCCATTTAGTACTTTTAAAACGACAGAAATTTACTAAATGTACAATAAACATGAATTACCTAAACCATAGTTATCACAGACAAGTAAAATTGTTAAATTAATCATCACGAAACGGAATCCAAAAATAGGAGAAACTTATAATTATTAAGAATAATAATACTAACTTTAACTGAAGTAAAAAAGATTTCTATTTTATAAAGTGGTGAAATATAAAGACATATCAATACATGCACACACACACACACACACACATATATATATATATACG